AAAGAACATCAAAAGGCTGTTTCAACTTTAGACAAGGGAAAATCAGCTTTAGCCGAACATGTATGTTACACCAAACACGAGATTGCGTGGGAAAACTGTAAAGTAATTACCACAAACAATCGCTATAGTCAAAGACTTTGCCTAGAAGCGTGGCATATAAATATGAGTCATCATGCTTTGAATAGGGATGACGGCGCCTATTTGCCAGAAGAATATATGCATCTTCTTAGCAGGTGACGTCATCCCTTGGGTATTTAAGAAGCCACGATCGTGGCTAAAAAGACACTATACATATTTCAGTATACTTTGAAGACACTAGACTGGAGTGTCGAAACGTTGGGTCTTGATTACAATTCGACTGGGCTTTGTAATCATTTATTTAAACCAGAGTAGCGAGCGAAACATGATTGATATACCTGGTTGCAGTGAACAAACAAACTTTAGACAAACTTATTTAACGGGGGTGAAAGGTCATTAATATTATGTAAAATAGGGCATAAAACAAACATTTAGTTCACAATTTTTCCCTTGTAAATCATGGATATTTATACAACCCAAAGCCAAACCAAGCGGTAAATTACAGAGTGGGGATTAAAAATGTCCAATAAGGTATCAGTGGTATACAATTTTTATTTTGCTGCAGTTAATTAATTGGCAAATTTTAGGGTGGCATGACCTTGCCCCAATTGTAGGCAACCAAAATCATACCTAATAAGTTTGTGGTTCCCATCAATGTGCCACAGGGAGCGAGGATATTTCACGTTGTATGAACGCCAACGTTTTTGCCAACGTTGCATTAGACCAATTGGATCTGTTCTCAGCAGTGAACATCTTATCCGGTCACGTTGCACACGCCATCCCTTGCTTTGCAGGTATCCTTTCATCATCCGTATACCAAAATTGGGATGATCACTTGATGTTTGGCGAACAAGTTCATCTAACTGATCATCACTAATATCACTAAATGTACCTTTAGATATGAAAACAAAGACATTTTATGCATATAGTTATCATTTGTATGTATAGGTTATAAACCAAGAACAAGGAATATAAGTCAAATATATTACCTATATCCTAAGTTTGAGGTTTATAACAGACTTATTTACTAGTTGAGGAGTTTTTCAAACAAAGTTTCATCAATCTCAAAAACTTCGATCATGATTTTTATAGTTTTGTCAATAAGTTTAATCTAATTATTTATTCACATGTTCTACGGTGTATCCTGCAGTAATGTACATCGAAGAAAACTGACTCAACCAGTAAATAAATCCAGTTAATAAAGTGATTATAAAACGAAATTTTTTCCTCATTTTTTATTATTTTATGGAAAGGGACTGCTCAAATGATGAAGAATGATGTTTACAGTTTATTTGTATCTCATCTCATTCCCAAGTTATCACACTTTCTAAATTTTGAGTTGTGACATCACAAGTATGGCTTGAGATAGTGGCAATAACAAGAAAGTCTGATATCTTTGCGACTATTTAATAAATTCAATGAAACTTGGCATACACACTTAGTGGGTGCAACTAAGTCAAATAATTTGGCTTGTTTATATGGTTGTTGTGGAAACACACTCGTCCCCAGTCCCTTCTCTTTCAATTTCTATATGATCCATTTCCAGCGAAATAAATAGCAATTCCTGACATTTTCGCTTATTAATATAATAGGTGTAGGTATTGGGATCAGTTTAAACAATTATAACATGCAAACATCCTCTGTACGAGGTGTACAGGAGGAAATTTGTGAAAGAAAGAGAAGAGACTGGGGACTAGTGTTTTGCCATTAGTGTGTTGCCATGACAACCACATTACCTGCCAAAAATAGGGTGCTCCCACTAAGTGTATTAGGGAGTGGTCATCATTTAAGTGGAGGGAGGGGTTGGTAAATGGGGAAAATAAGGATTGAAAACTTTTTTGATCCGCCTCCTGAAGGCAAACTTTTTGTGCCTCCCCCCTCATAAAAGTAGTAATGTTTCTAACCCCCCATTAAAAAAATTAGTAGCAATGAAACAGGTGCATGTGTGTTGCACGTAAAGTTAGATATTAGGACAACCTGTTTAATACACTGTAGCTCATGATTAAAAAATATATATATTTATGTGTTACTACTTTGCAATGCAACATTTGTCCTACCATAAAATATGTGAAATGATTTGAACACAGGACTTTTTTAAGAACTTGTCTGGGGGTGGGCATATACAAAAAGGGACCATACTATACTGAATGTGGAGAAATGACAGATGGTTGTTGGTGACAAAAAGTTTGGGGGTATTCTCCCCCAGAAAAGTTTTTGTATTTTTCCACCCCTAGGACTGAAATGTGAGCATTTTCTGAAACAGATTTTTGGATATACTGTTCAGCATTAAATTGTGCTTTGATAGACTGAATCTGATCAGTTAAGCATAGACAGATTTTGTGTGTGTGTGTGTGTAGGTGCTACTTCTAATATTAGCTATAACCCCCCCCCCAACAAAATGTCCACCTCTCCAAAAAAAAATTCAACCCCCCCCCCCAATATTTGGAATAATAAAAAATAATTAAATAATCCACTCCAACGTGCAGAGTGTTGATGATACAAAATAAACGTAGGAGTACACTCGAATAGAAAGCAATATTATTGGAGCAATTGTAAAGTTTTGAAACTCTATTATCTCCCCTGAATAGAGTTTGCAGTGCCTTGTCATGCAAATAGCTTGCTTGCAAGGAACGTTTGGAATTTTTATGAACATTATTTTTAGATTTTAATTCTTTTAGGAAATAGTCTTGCCTAGATTTAATCTTTACGCCCCAAATATTATTTACATCGACACAATGTCAATGACTTTATAAAAGTAAAAGCATATTGTGTATTGGCCTATTGGGTTTACACTTTTACAGGTTCATTTAACTTTAACTCTCTCAAGTCTTAACAGACAATCGGACAGGCCAAATCCATTGATATGACAACTTCAAAAACGTTTTTTCGAAGCTAGAAATCATGATTTTTTTCAAATTTTTCCTGGGATACTTTGTTTTCTGCTCTCTAGACTCCCCTTCGCAGGTCTAGTGCTCTACCCCTAGAATATAGACCTTACTGGGGTTTGGTGACACTTTGTGTTGCGTCAGCCACCTACTCACGGCTCACCTGCTTACGGCTCACCCCCCTAAAATTTCTGGCACCACCCCAGTAAAAAATATGAAAATCCATCTATGATGAAATCTGATCCAAATCCAATCCGATTTGTTAAAGCGTTCTGATCCAATCCAATCCAAAAAATTCCAATAAAAACCTTCAATAAATTAAACTTTCGAATCAAGTGTATAACTGTATATCAATGTTAAATTTTTAATTTCTAGATTCTAGACTCTAGTCTTCGCAGAAACCAATTTGCAATCTTGTGTCTCAGATCTTTTATTCTTTACAAACTCAGATCTTTTATTCTTTACAAATAGGGTTAATAAACAATAGACAATTAGAAATTGTAAAAGACAATAGACAATTGAAAAAGTATTAATTAAATGGAAGCGCTGTAAGCCTTTAGTTTTCACAGCAGGCCTGGTAATCGAAGTCCGATCCAATCCAACTACAAAAAATACTCTTCCAATCTGATCCGAAGTGAATATTATGGCCAAATAATCCGAATGAATTGGTTTCGGATCAGATTTGCACATCTTTAGTTGCCACTCAATGAGTTAACACCATCCATCCAGTTTATGACTTACAGTACTGTTTATAAAAAATGTTTCATATACAAACTTGCAAAAGCTGCTATCTTCACACTTCTTAAATTTAGACATATCTATTGCCAATGAAGAATTAACAATCAGAAATACAACCCACACCAACGACCTAAGCCTAAGAGATAAGAAAACCCAAAAATCAGCTTAAATTAAACAATGCATATTAAATAAATCACATTTATTCAGTCATAAGTACTAAAGTATATAACTATATTTGAATAAACTATTGCAACGCCAAATGACGATTGCTAGGATATTATAGCAGAATATAAATAATTAAATATCAAAAAGAAACAGCATTTAAAGAAACCCTAAAATTACCTTACAAATTTATGAAAATCTGTCATTTTGCTTTTAAAATATTCCTCTGAAAAAAAAACACGTTGCAGGCAGGTAGGCACCAGTCTCCAATTAGGTGCGCGGTTATACATGTTCAACGATGAGCTCTACATAAAGTAACTGGAGTAAAAACAGAGTAAATGGTGAAATCGATCACTTTCTAAACGCAGATGGTAGTCAATTTTAGAAGTGTTGACACTTAATATAAACGTGAAAAATGAACTTCATCTCTCAATTCTATTTGTTCACCACCAAATATAAGCCAACATACATATAACGAAAAGAATTAACCTTATTTTCTAGCTAGTTTGAGCTGACCAAATTTTGTCACCAAATATAGTCATTACATGCTTACAATTATTGTTTTTGAACTACTATACAGGGCCGAAATTTTTAAATTTAGAGTCTCTAAAATGCCATTTCCTGGACTTTGGGGGAAGATTTAACAGAATTCTGATAGTCAGAAAACAGCGTTTTAGTATGTCGAAATTTACAGGAAAGTATGGGCCAGACTGTAGTATTATAAATGCGCGGC